TTCATGTGTGTGTATATGAATACAGTTCATTCTTTCCCTCTCTCTCTCTCTCTCTCTCTCTCTCTCTCTCTCTCTCTCTCTACTGTCTCTTTATTGCTCTCTTTCCAAAATGAATTTCTTTCAAGGTCACGGACTATAATATGACATGGCATGGATCATGCTACCTTACCCCTTTGCTTCTGTGAAGTTATTCTACACAGAGAGTTAAGAAGTGTATAAAAATTAAAAATGAATGAACATGCTATATGAATATCAAATAGACACAGGAGTCAACATAGATAAACTTTCTGTGAGGAAAGTGAAATCTCTGAGAATGAAATAAATAACTCTATCCTAGTTAGCAATTAGGAACCTGACTTCCATGATTTAGTTTATTCTACTTTGTTCAAGTCAAATAAAGAAAGCAGCTTCAGACTGAAAAACTGTGTCACAAAGAAGAAGTTTACAAATCATAATACCAATGTCCATGCAATTCTTAGTAATAACATTTCTAATTAAAACACTACTATTCAGAGTTGACATAGGTCATCGCCTTTCCACATGTCCTCAGGTTCTTTAAACATTCATAATATAGTGCGGCTATTGTCAAATATATATATATATATATATATATATATATATATATATATATTTATGTCTCTCACTCTATGCCCACAATGTCATATTCCATATCATAAGAACATGTCTTCACATGCCTGTCAGCATGAAGTTATTTTGTATGGTGCTGTTTCAGTGAACCTCTCCTACTCTGACAACCCCTGTATTCCACTGCCCCCTTTTTCATCTCCACTTTTCCATTTTTATACATTGTTCTATTTATAATGGTACACTGAGTACAGTCTTTAGAGTTCATTGTTTTACATATAGTTCAATGTATCTCAGTTTCATTCCTCTTGCATAAAGAAATGGCTCCTGTTACCTGCTAAGAAGCATGCTGACTTGTATATTAGCCACAGTTTGTTAGCCACTTACATGTTAAAACCGACATACTTTCATTGGTAAGGATCACAAATAAAGTTATATGTGAACATCCACATTTCTGTTAAAGTAAAATTTCAGTTCATGTCTTTAAAAGCTTGGGGTGAGACCTGCTTCCTCAGATAGTAACTTGTTGATGGAATTTCTGTCCCATCAGGTATCCCAGCTGTTTAGCTCCAAATAAACACTCAGAGGCTTATATTATTATGAACCGTTTAGCCAATGGCTCAGGCTACTTATTGGCTAGCTCTCTCTTTATAATTAACCCATTTCTATTTATCTGTGTATCTCCATGTGGTTTTTGCTTACAGAGAATGCCCAGCATCCTATCTTCCTGGTACCTACATGGCATCTCTCTAGTGCCTGCTTCCCTGCTTTTCCTATTACCAGAATTCTCCTAATGTTGTAGTCCTGCCTCTACTTCCTGTCTGGCTACTGGCCAAACAGCACTTATTCATCAACCAATAAGAGAAACATATATTCACAGCATACAGAAGCGCCTCCCCCATCAGTAACTGTGCTAACCCTACAGCATGTCAAGTCACCTACTGAAGACTGCACCATTGCTCAGAGTATTGTCCCAGTAGTGAACAGAAATTTCTGCACTCTGAATGATTTCCAGCATTTGGTTTTGGTCGAAAGTTGTTGTTATTAAACACCTCTGTGGCTGTGTGTTTGTATCTGATACTACTTTACCACTTCTGTCATGTCTGTTGTTACCTATCTTTTCAGGTGCCTAGTCTAAATGATTTTAAGTGTGAATTTGGATCCTTTTGTCCCATTTTCTTTTTTGTCTGTTAGTACATTGGTTACTTTATGCATTATTATGAATAAATGGTCATTATCAGATACGTGACTTCATCCTAGTCTCTGAGTTTGTCATGTTTTCTTAACACTGATTTTCACATAACAAATGATCTGAGTTTTTACAAAATCCAATTTATCGATTATTTTTCCTTTGTAGATTCTAGATCTTTTCTTTCATAGATCCAAAAATTGAAAAACTGGCCACTAAACTGAAAGTCATACAGTACTCACTCATTTTTTTAATGTTTTCTGGCACTGGTATATACTCTGGTCCAACCTCCATGTAGAGTAAATTTTTATGAAGAGTATCAGATAGCTGTTGACTACATATTAGATAGTATCAGATATTAGATAGTATTAGATAGCTGTTGTTCTACATATGCATAGCCAATATTTGCTCCAATTATATATATATATATATATATATATCTGTGTGTGTGTGTGTGTGTGTGTGTTTTCCCCAGTCACATATTTATCATTTTATAAGTTCTATCTTGTCTTGATACTGTAACTTCATATTAAGTCTTAAACTTGGACAACATGAATCTTTAATTTCTCTTCTTACAATTGTTTTGCCTATTCTATTTAGTTTACCTTTCTGTATAAATGCAGAATGAGGTTTTGACTGACATTTTATTACACATGTAGATGAAAATATAGAGAACTTATCCAAATTTTAAAATCCATTCAATTATCCCATTATAGTTTTTTGATATAAGTCCTGAACATATTTCATGGTGTCAGTGTTATATTTTTATGGTGTTATTAATGACAGTGTTTATAATTTAATAATAATGTGTTTCTTGCTGCTGTGTACATACGATTGATTTTATATACAGACTTTCCATCTTTAGCTTGATTCAGCCACTTAATGGTTTTGGTGGTGTTTAATTGTTATTTGGGGGCATGGGTATTTTATAAACAATATCACATCTTACAAACAGACAACTTTATTTTTCCTTCACATCTTTCTTTCTTTGCCATTTTTGGGGGCTTCAGGGCAAGGATTCTGATACGTTGTTACAGAACAGAAAACAATTTCTCCTGGTTGTAGTCTCCTATTCTTGCTGAGCTTTCTGTAGGTGTCTGTCATTAGGCTAGTAGGATTATCTTCTAACCCTAGTTTATGGTTTTTTGTATCTGCTTATTGAATTTTATTATATACATTTTGTGCATGTCTTGAGCAGGCTGATTGAATTTTCTTAATTTAACAATATGGGATGATTCTCAGATAATACAATAAGATTTCATTCCTTGGATAAAACCCACTCAATGGAGACCCATAATAATTTTTTCATTCTTTTTAGAACTTCAACTATAGTCACTTGTTAGCTGCCACATTATAATTCTTATGTTTCTGTGGTTTGTTAATTTTTTAAAATACATTTTTCTTTGAAAATTTCATACATGTATACAATGTATTTCTGTTACATCCCCTCACCAGTTCTTGCCTCCCTCCAACTTTCTCTTCATTTCTTCATCTCCATCTCTGGATCTGTTAATGATTTAATGTTTTGTTATACATAGGTTTCAAGAGCGATTTCCTCTAAAATATTTGTATACTTCTTATTTTTTTAAACTGTGGCATTTTAAACTTGTGTTATATACATATCTTTTTTTAAGCTAGACTTCACAAAGAATTTTATATATATTCAAGAAACCAATTTGAAATACAGAATCTGCAGACCCAATTAAAAAAAAAAAACTTGATTACTGTGACTCTTTGAGAGCAGTTTGCACATGTTTTCATCTAACTACTATTTCAGCTATTATCTGTTAATTTTTGTACTGTAATTTTATTTTAAGTCTTCTCAAAGTATTTAATTTCTTTGGACACTTTTCTATTTGTCCCAGGGGTAAATTCGATGAGTCTGTTGTTAAACTTTTAAATACTTAGATCTTCCTATGATTTTCTTATTGATTTCTACTGTAAGATCTGAGATGATACTTTGTATGATTTTTGCGATCTTTCATTTCCTTTTTCTTTAAAGCCAGAATATGGTTCCTCTTAATGATCCTTTCAGTTGCACTTGATTGGAATGTCTGCTCTTGTTGTACATATGGTTCTAGAAATTCAGGGAGGTTGATTCACCTGATTACAACATTGTAGGCTATCTGTACATTGATGAGTGTCACAGGTATTTTCTTGAGTGCTGAAGTTGGAAAGCTGGTTTGCAAAGCACTAATAGCAACTGAGATTAAGGTCTTAATTTGGGATCAGGTTTTATGCTTTTCTGTGTTTGGGAAAGCCTATTTATATCCACACATGCCAATGTTCAAGATGTAAGAAAGTCCATTTTTGATGTCTCCCTGGTGCATGACAGGAGAAACAAGGTGTTTATCTAATTCCCACTTTAAGTGTTCTACTCCTGGCATTGTCTTCATGATTTTTTTCCTATAAATATCCTCTACTTCTTTTATCTTAACTGGACTGTTTGATTGTACATCTTGTAAAATACAGGAGTGATGACTAAGCAAGAGTTGGAATAAGATGAAGTCCATCAATTGTTCAGTAAACTGTCCCTGCCCCCATTTCTCCTCAAGGCATTCATTCAAATCGATTGGTATCATGAAGATTCTGAGAAGCATGGAGTTCAAAATCTATTTAATCTTCCTGTTCTATAGCAGGGGAATACTAGCTATTAATATATTACATGATTTCTGGAAAGGTAACATGGAATAATTGAAACGAATTTTCAGTGGTTTGGCTGATCATACCTGATCTATAAAACTATGTTTGTAATAGTCCGTGGGTATACTTGTTGGTTACTTTGCTTTTCATTTTATTTCTTTGTAGGTGATCTTTAAAATCTGAGAGTCATGTGTTGTTGGGGAAAAGAACTGTCTTGGAATTCAAACTCTTAGGCATAAACATGAAAACCAGTTGCTTAAGTGTCTATTTTCAATGTAACATATAACATGCATTGTAAAGACCTTCATCTACATTCTTTGTCTGCCACTCTTTATCCACTTCCTGAAAGTTAATACCCCTAGCTTTCCTGGGATGTACTAGTATTCAAAATGCATTACAAAGAGTGAGGCTGTGCTTTACTGCATGGTTTGTAAGACTAGTTCAAGAACTAGCATGATATTTTATGTCTTCCTGAAGCATAAGCATCCTTAAGAAAGTTCTGAGACCCCTGCCACTATCTTCCCTGTTCTTTTGCTACCTCCACTGGGACTTTATTGACACTCTGCTTTCTTTTCTTGAACAGGTGGGCTCTGCATTGCCCAGTCCGTGAGAATTCCCCAAGAGCGCAAAGACAGGACCATTGACTTTGATAGAATTATCAAACAGCTCTTGGACACCCCCAACTCCAGGGCCGTCGTGATTTTTGCCAACGATGAGGATATAAAGTAAGGATGACTGGTGAACCTCGTTCCTATGCATGTCACAACTTTAGGAGGCAGAATGATGAGGATGCTTGCAAGGAGAAGAGAAATAAAACTCAGATTAGAGCTGTAATTATAAGGTGGTATATTCTTTCATGCTTTCTCAGAATTAAAAGCCAGAACACAGTTGTTGGCCATCCACATTCTGCACCCACGTAATACTTACTCCTTTCTGCATTGATTTCCTGCACACCCAACTTGTCATTTTAACTGCCCCCTGGCCTAGCTCCTTGCATTTATAGCCATACCATGCAGAGCCATCCTTGGAATCTCTTCTAGAATGTAAGTGCCCCCTGCTTCCTTTTCTGAACGCTGTAACTCAGTCCAGAATCTTTATTTTTGTCCTTTTAAAAATAAGTGGTAATTTGGGCTTGGCTTCAAAGGCTACATTTTTTTCTAACATTGTCCAAACCTCCAAATAAAATTTCTTGCACCCTGTACTGGAGCTAACATTCTCCCTTGTGGGTAGCAGGGCTCCTGGCTTGTCAGTCTCTGATGTGTTATTCTGGAAACATTCTGTACCATGATCCTGATCCATTTTTAAGTACCCTTTAGGTGTACTGCATGCTTCTGCTCTTGACCCAGCATGCCTTAGCATTTCATAACAGAGGGCCTTGCGTATCAGTGTTGTGTGGATCTGTGAAGTTTTTTAATCTATATTTATAATTTTATTTTACCTGAGAACTGCAGTTTACCTAGCTTCTCCCTTGTGGATTGACAATTACATTTTTCATTACAGAATTCCACAGTTATAAAAAATAACATAATATCAAACTTCCTGTAAGAATGTGTGTGTTGAACTATAAATACAGATATACATACTATGTAGTATACTATACAATATGTAACTACATCAGACTAATATATTCACAATGAACATAGAATTTTACATGTCCTTTTTTGAATTCAATCATAGATTCATTAGCTTTTATGTTCTATGTGTTTAAATTGTCAGATTTTATAATGTAGATTCTAGGAAGATTTGACTTTTCCCTAAAAGGGCCATCAATACAATCATCTAGAAATGTGACAGTTTATACTTTCCTGATGTGGCAGAGTTATGTTTTAAATCATTACCTTGCATTTTAAAATTCTGTGTCATTCAATTTGAAGGTGAATTATTTTTACTCAGTAAAATGGAAGGGTTCAGACCATGATAATATCTTCCTTGGCATTTTCCAAGGTCATTTTCAGAAGCCCTTCCTTCCTTCTTACTGCGCCATATGTTCTCCCCCAAAGCCCCGAATCTCTCCAGCATTCCAGTATGAAGGCCTTGACCACAAGTGAGGGAATAGGACTATTACATGGAAAATGGAATTTGAGAATATTTTCACAACATAGATCATCACTCTCTCTCCTTGAAAAGGCATCTTCCCTTAGCTCCCATTTTCTTTGCATCTCAGTTCTCCCATGAGTTAAATGAAAGTCTTCTAAAGCTGTCCTATGAGAGAGCTTCCTGGTCTAACTTCTCTCTAAACACTCAATGTTGTACACACTGCTAGCCAGGAGACTGTTTCTGTTTCATTCTTCCTAAATCTTTTCATTGTTTCTGGTGCATTTCAAGGAAGATTTCTCTGACCAGAGTATTTCTGGAAAATTCTTCTCATAATAATTTAATTGTTTAACTTATGCCAGTGGCATCATCTATCGTTGCCATTGCTGTTGTTGAATGGTTCACATAAGTGTGTTGCCTGTTGTCTCTAGCCATCATTGGACCAGATGACTTTTGAATGGTGTTTTCATCCTTACTACCAGTACTAATATTAAGAAAATATGTGGTGCTCAAACAATGCCATTGAATGAATGAAATTCTGAGTCTAACACTCGTGCTTGTGCTGAATGATTGGAATTTTTGTGAATTTGCTTGTTCTCCCCCCCCCTCTCTCTCCCTTCCTCTCCAAATGCGGGGTTTTAATTTATAACGCAAGTTGGCCTCTAACTCATGATGCTCCTGCCTCTTCCTCTAATTGCTAGGATTGCAGGTACAGGACTAAAGTAGGATTAAGCCTCGGTTCAAGATTTATCATTTTAGACCTTACATACACTACATTTGTAGTTGTCAACATTAATGTTTTGATCCAAACCTACCAGCATTTTCTGGGTGCTTCTTCCACTTGTCTTCTTCTCATGGCAGAACTTTCCTGAACTCCATCTTTATCTATTTCAAGTTTTTTTTTTTTCACATATGCCCTTCTCTGGAACAATGTTTTGGATAATGGTAAAATACATTATTTCTCTCCTAGCACAATGCTGTTTGTATCACTCTTGGGTTGTCTTATTCCTCTTTGTGTTTTAGTTACTTGTGAGGTTTTGTTTTCATCATATTGGTCTTTTAGGCTCTGCTTTTCCCCTGATGTTGTTAATATCCTTGTCAACCATTTTATAAGTCTTTTCTTGCCTACATTATGCATTTACTAATATGTGATACATTAGTAATGTATGACTATGTTGAGTTTTTAAAATGACAGTTTTGTGATTAAATTATAATACTTTTGTCCTGCATAAAGTATGCATATTTTTATAATGGAGCTACTTTCTATAGTGAATATTATTCTGTGTTGCAATATATGTGTTAGCCTATTGGTTTCTGAGCACAGTGATAAAGAGTATGCTTCACATGTTTCTTCTAGAATGTGATAAAGGCAGAACCATCTGAAGATTACAAAATCCCCACAATGTTTCAAAACTATACATTGGAGATGGAGAATTTTGACATTTCCTGCAACATTAACTTCAAACACTTAGAGAACAGGCAAAGGATGGCATTAATGTATCAATTTTGAAGGGATGCTAAATGCTGAATCAGTCATGGGTATTGGTAATTTGGATAAAGGAAGAACAAAATCTGTCTTCAAAAATAGAACTCTGCACATAAAAGTAAAATGAGAAAGGGAGAAGAGGAGGGGTGAGGAGGACTTGAGGGAGCAGAAACTACATATCTCACTCATAATCAGGAACCAGTGACTATGTTGTTAACACCTGCCCCCCCTTGTTTTCTCTCTGCTCATGACTTCTTCACAAAAGACTTTTATTCTACTTTGTAGTAATATGCCCCCTTCCTATTGCTACAGCATATTCTTGAATAACTTATTTTAAAAGAGTTAACTGAGGGAAAACTATTTCAGGGATGGAGAGATGGCTCGGTGTTTAAGGGCACTTATTTCTCCTGCAGAGGACCAGGTGTGCATATCACACAGCTCACAGCTGTTTGTAACCAGGAGATCTGACACAATCTTCTGGCCTCTGAGGGCATCTGCATACATGTGGTGGACTTAAACACTCATAAAGATATACATATTAATAAAATGAATATAACATTCTTATGAAAAAACTTGTTTGTGTATTCTGATTCCTATAATTAATAGTTGGCATGGTGACATTATGTCTCATATCTATTCAAACAATATTTGCCCCAGAAGTGATTTAGTAAACAGTGTCATTTACTTATGAGTTGGAAAACTCTTAATTTGTATGACATGAGACAGTGTAACCTTACAGTGGGGAGGAAATCAAAAATACTACTGGGCCTATGTGAAAATCATCTTTGCATTAGGTTTCTTTATGTGTTAAATATTATAATTCTGAATTAAAAGATTTTCTCAGACTTTTCCTTATTGCATCATTATTTTCATATTTGATTACTTCATCTTTTCAGAAATTAAGCGGATCTCTCTGTTTTTATTTTTCTGAGTTCCTCTCAGCTTTTATAGGATATTTTCATTATTTCCAAAGTTAGTATTTTGGACCGTTTTGTTCCTCTGTTTTTACAAAAGTTTACCTTTTTTAATTCACAAAATCATCCTCTCAGCTTATCAGTTAATTGGTAACTAGATAATAAAGTGTAAAATAATCTCTGGAAATGTCTTATTAACAATAGTTAAAACCTACTGTTTAAAAAAGTCTTACTTTTTCTATACATTTGTTCAGGAAATATTGTATATAGCCTTATACTTATTTTAGCATTCTTATTTTTTTAGCTTTTAGTTTAGTTTTCTTAGCTTTCTTTTCTCAAAAGTAACAGCAATTTTTCACTTCAATATACAAGTTCTTGTTTATATTCTTAGTTTTTCACATATTTTGCTGTTGGTTATCTTTATATACCTTAACTAAATGAACTTGTTATTTTGTGCTTTCTCCTGTTTCATTTCTTCCACACTCTACACTTGCGACCATTTCATTGTTATTCTTTTCTCTTTTTCACTGGGATCTTGTGTACTTGTGAAGACTTGGGTAGACAGTTACCAGCTATAGACTTGTGTTTATCAACTGATGGGAGGCTCAACAGCTATAGAAGTGGCTATTGTATTAACTGATTACTTCCTATAAAAATTGTAGTTCTTTTTGGATGAGGTAGATAAAAATCCAGAATAATTTTTCCTTCTAATACTTTTTTTTAGTAGCTATTTAGTCACTTTGAGTTCTCTTGCCTTTCGGTACTTAATACACAGGTACATATCCATTCATCCCTACTTCTTTCCTTGCATCACACAGCAATTTCTCCTTTGACTTTTGTTGGGTGCTCACACTATTAGAGAACAATTTCTTATGATTTTATTAAAAAATTGCCAGTGTATTTTTGGTCTAGGAGAGAGAAAATGTTATCCCAGTTTTTACTGTCTCACATGTTGCCTAATTGTTTTACTTCTGAACTATGTGGTACCTGAACTTTGAAAGTCCTGAATGATGAGCATTTGCATGTGGGGGGTTGTTTTGTGGGTGTAGCTGTATGTGTATTGTGTGTGTGTATGCAGGTGTGTATGTGTGTGGATAAATGTGTACATGTGAACGTCTCTCATTTTTCACCTCTTTCCCAAATCCCAATATGATAACTTTCTCATTAATATCATTGTTTTCTTTTCATACTTTTTATCTTGTTGCTTTTGATATTTGCCAACTATATTCATCTATAAACCTAGGAAATGAATGTTTTTATTGAAAGTAGAATTCTCTTTATTTTAATAAATGGTTGCTATGATCGATATTGACATAGTACTTTCAAGAAATGAGATTTACTACTATCTCACCTCTCCACCTGAAGCCCAATGACAAAACATGAAGTAAAACAAGACTTTATTTGGCCATTTTGAGAAAGGCACTTAGAATCTTTTTTATGAGTTGTGTTTTCACAATTTCTAATACTTGTGAATATGCATCTCCAGTTTATTACATGTTTCTCTCTCCTTTAGCCTTTGACTTCTAACATCTTTCACTTGTTTTACTCAAAGAGCTTTGACATTTTTTATTAGTTTATGGATTTCTTTGCATATATCGTATACAATTCCTTATAACCTTTGCTATTTATTGCTTATGTTTTGAGACTGCAGAGATTCTTTTGGCTCTACTTGAGTTTGAAGACTCTCGTGGTCAGCTTTTACACCTATATGCTCTTTTGTGTTCCTTTCCATAGGCAGATCCTAGCAGCAGCCAAAAGAGCTGACCAAGTGGGCCATTTTCTCTGGGTGGGGTCAGACAGCTGGGGATCCAAAGTCAACCCACTACATCAGCATGAAGATATTGCAGAAGGAGCCATCACCATCCAGCCTAAGAGAGCAACTGTGGAAGGTATGTGCTTTGTCAGCAGTGGAATGTGTGAAGAGGGGGTGACATGCTGTTAGATGACCCAAACTGGTGTATTTTGGGAGTTTCATCTTTGTACAGGATTTATAGAGTGTGTTTTCCAGAGTAGAGCAATGGGTTGCAAATGAAGCTGTACACCTGGTCTGTTCCCTTTGTTGACAACCCTCTTTTGCAGAGATTATATTATTTCATGGTAATGTTGCAATTAGCATAGATTCTTTTCTCACTCTGAAGAGCTTTCTGAGAAGAGATCATCACCATCACTAAGAATTGAAACAATAACACATGCAAGTGTGTGTGCAGCAACACTGCATTTTTAGAAAGAACATTTTCTCTTTGTAATTTACCCTTTGCTTCTTAGCAAGACAACCATAAGGATAACATTCCTGTTACCTCTCATGATCCCTCCAGACACTGTGAGTATAGGGAAGTGACCCTTTGCAGATACCAATGTTGCCTCCCTTTTCAGTATTCCCTTGCTTTCCTACATTTCTGCCACCTCCCTTTTTAATTTTCCTTTCTTTGTTATTAAAAAGACCTTTTGGGGGGGCATTAATAAGAAATGATATTACTTGGTGTTCTTATAATGTAAATGAATATATTGGTTACAATTATTTTTTAATGTGAAAAGAAAGGTTCAGTTTAAATGGAAACATGGTGATGAAAGAGTGAACCTCTCTGTTGATAGCCTGCTGTCTATTTCCTTTTTGGTGAATCATGGCTCCAAAGATTTCCTCAAGTATGCTTTTCATGTCACACTGAACCCCATCCTCTTACTCAAAGGAAGTAAACATTTGACCTTCTATTTTCTGCCTGTTTCAATACAATTAATTGTTCTCTCCAGAAATCTACAGCATGTGCATTGATTTTCTGAAACAAATCAGGTTGTGCCTCTCTCTGTCACTGGTCTTTTTCTCTGTTATCTCGAGGAGATAACAATCCCATGGGTCACCTCTGTGTTTCCCATGGGAGGCTTTGAATTAATTTATTCTCCAGAGCTGATCGCATCTCTTACAAAACAGGCCACTGAAATTACAGATATGACACAATAATGACAGGATTTTAGATTTTTAACTATCTCTACTTGCTTTCACTCAAACAATGTGTGCATTTTTCTGTGCTACAAGTCAAATAAATGGAAGATGTGGGAATAGGCAGAAAGAAGCTAATGGGATCAGACTTTGGAAACTGCTCTGTGCTCTGGGGCATCAAGTAAAGCAGGTTGAGTGGATGTTATTATGATACAGTGCTTAAGAGGACTCCTTACATGAGACAATGCAGTAAGTGATACCTGAGAGCTAACTAGGTGGACAGTGAGGAGTAAGAGATGAGGACTGAAGAACAAAGGGGCAGATGCAGTAAGGCTGTTGCTTAAAGACTCCTGAAACAATTCTACATGCCCAAGGTATTGAACTCATCACATTCTGCTCAACGTTTTCCTGTTTACAAGGCACTAGGAAGACTCTGTTCCCCTGAAGTAGATACATGATCATACTACTTGGTTGACTAGCATCTGTTAACCCAAAGGTATTTCCTTGGATATTAATTTGGCACAGATGCTATATGTGCATGTTGCTTCTCGACCATGGTAAGAAATACCTGAGGTAACATATGGAGAGTGGGTTTGTTACATTTCATGGATGTTTAGGTTTCAGTCAGGGCTTGATTCTTCTCTTTATTTGTGTTCTGGGATGAGAACACTATGGTGGAAGTATGTGGCAAAGAACACTGGCTTGTAGGCAAATGAAAGATAGGGGTGCCTGGTGTCCTAAACTTCTCTTAATGGATATAATTATGGTAACCTTCAAGCCTCCTACTAGGGGCTACTTATTACAGCTCTTTTTGTCTTTTTTTTTGTCACTTTTCAAGAGTGTTACTTCTGAGGACTTAGGTTTACAATCTAGACCTTTGGGGGCTTATTTGTTTGAATATAAATGCTTTTCCCAGGCCTCATTTGAATACTTGGCCTAAGATTTGAGGTTTCAAAAAGCCTCTCCCAGTTGGCTCTCTGCCTCCTACATGTGGATCAAGATGTAAGCTCTCAGCCACTGCTCCAGCATCATGGCTGCCTGGCTGCCTGTTGTCATGCTTCCTACCATGGTGGTCATGGACTCACCTTCTGAAATTGTAAACGCCAAATGAACTCCTTTTTTTCTGTAAGTTTCTTTGGTCATGGTATCTTATTATGGCTCCAGAAAGACAGAAAAGATGGGGGGACAATGAAAACACAAACTATAGCAATGTCTTTTGTTGTTGTCACACCTGGTCAAGTCTTAGTTATCTTGCTCTGATGGTTGATAATGACTTTCAACTTGCATGGATTTGGAATTACAGTGGAAACACATCTCTGTGCATGTGTGTGAGGAATTTTTATAGGTTTGTTTAAAAGATAGGAAGATCCATGCTGAATGTGTGTAGTTCCATATACCCTATTGGTTGGAGTCCCAAAGTTTATAGAAAGGAGAAAGCAAGTTTAGCAACAGCATTTGTCTTCCTAAATGTGCATGTGCTATAACCATGTTTCTACTACCATGCCTTTCCAACTATGAAGAAATCTAGTCTTTCATATGGTGAGAAAAACTTGCATGCACACCGTCTCCAGTATTTCAAAGGATTTACTTGTCTCCAACTAATAGTATCTGATTGGTATCTTTGGACCGTTTGCATGTAGCTCTTTTCTGGAGATTGTGGGAATTTAATACAATTTTAAATGATTATCTGTGTATTAGGAATCACAGGCCCTGTAAGGTCTGACATAAGATATGGCTGAAAGGAAAACTGGGGATACATCATAAAATGTCACGTCTAGAAAGGAGATTGCACTAGATGTTAGAAATATGAGTGGTATCAGAGGATGGAGTCAGCTGTGAGCAGGGTAGGCTAGAATGCTCATCCAGGTTACTTTGTGGAACTACGAATGGGTTGTAGGGTCTGGGGTAATGAGAAGTAAGAGTTTCTAGAGCCTCAACTGAGTCCTCTCTTCCTAAGCCCTAAATGTCACATAGATATGATGTCTATATGTCATGGCTGCTACCCATATGGCCATTATATTTTGGCAAATTACTAATTTTTTGTGGGGTTTTATAAATATTTGAAAGAAGGATGTTATTTTGTGTATATATTGAGATATACAAATTTATTAGGTCAGACCATAAACAGTCTTATGAGCTTCTTAAAAGCAAAAGGAAAACATCAAATAAAACTTTATAGGTGCGGGGGAGATTGTTCAATGGATTAAAAAACACTTGCCTCACAAGTATAATGACCAGAGCTTTGATCCCTAGAACCACGATAAAAGGCTGATACTCATGACTATCTCCAGTAATTCCAGAATTTGGGAAGCAGAAGGGCAAAGTGCTGGAGATTCAATGAGATATCCTGACTCAATAATAAAAATGGAGAGCAAGCCAGAAACCTGCCTGACATCAATTTCAGCACTCCACACATCCACACATACACGTATGTGTACCCCACACAGGAGCCCATAAACATGCACATTGACAGCAAATGCGCATGCAAAAGAAAAAGGTGTCTCAAGACAATAAAACACAGAAGAAATGTTGCTAAATATGGCATTACAACATGATCAAACAGTGGTAGTTTCTAAAAATCTCTGCCTCCTTCCAAAGAAATGTGAAGATTTTCACAGTGCCATGAGGAAAGCGCCACAGCTTCTATCTAGGGATACTATCATTGTGCATTATCACACACAAAAAAAGAACTGCTTTACTTTCACAGCAGATGGAACAATAAGATTTAGGATATCCATTCAAAATGCCATTGCTAAGAAAGTATGGGGAAATGAGTTCAGCCACATTGCTGAACTTGACCAAAGTTATGAAGGATCTAAACTCAAAAGTCAAGTTGAACAAATTTTAGAAGGACAAATAAAGATTCCATTCTCCAGCATCATATTTGTGTTTGTTTTGTCCCTTCCACCAGCCCCATGCTTGGTAAATTCTTCCAATCAGATTATATTGGAAGAGAATATTTAGCAAACATTCACAGTATACTCCAGTAACTTTGACTGAATATATGTTAAATTTTAAAGAAGTGTATTAATCATTCATGGGTTTACCTTTTAGGTTGATATTTTCAATATGTTTTGCCAACATCTGAGCCTTTGGCTGACATTGGTGTGTTTGTGTGTGTGTTTGTGTGTGTGTGTGTGTGTGTGTGTGTGTGTGTGTGTGTGTAGGGTATGCATCTTTGTGTCTATATCTTTTCTGATCATGTATCTACCTTATTTCTTGAGACACAGTGTCTTTCTAAAGCCAAAGTTCTTGGTTTAAGCTGAGCTGATTAGCCAGAGAACTCTAGGGATCAACTTACCTCCTCCAGGAAGTGCTGATATTAGATGCACATGCCTCCATTACTTCTGGCTTTCACTTGGGTATTGGAGATATGATCACAGGTCCTTGTGCTTGTATGGAAAATGCTTTACCCACTTTGTGCAACCATCTCCCCAAGTATTCATAATGTATGCATCAACATAAAAACTTATTTTAGTTCCACATGCCTTCCAATCTGACATCAGCTTTTGATCCCCTATTGTCCCTCTGTATTATTTATTTTCCATTTACAGAGAAGGAGGCCTTGATTTTTTTATAGCTAAGGATGCCATTTTTCTTCATTTCAATTTAATGGTGACAGAATCTGAACCACAGAAGGATCAGCTATGGCTGGGCTACCTGCCCAGCATTCCTGACAAATCTAGAGAATTTCAACAGTATTTGGCAGTAGTCCTCTACCTCTTAAGCCAAGCTACTTCTATAATTTTCAGTTTCTTTATGTTTTCAGAAGAGCACAGGTATGCCTTCATTTGTTTTTTACATGTATGTGGCTCCCTTAACTAAGATGTACAGCTGTTCTCTCTGGCCCTAATATGTCTTCCATGGAAAGTATGTTCACAATACCTTCAGCTCTTCACCTCCAAAATGCCCTGTTGCTCTGAAGCAGCCTGGCCTGGGCATCCTTTCATAAAC